TCACTTTATGTCGGGTCTCCACCAATGATTCTGAATGGAGAGAATCCAGGTTTATTCAAGCTTCATACTTATAATGGCAGGATGCTCAGTCTCTCTCTCTCTCTCTCTCTCTCTCTCTCTCTCCATCTCTCTGTCAGTCCCTCCTTACTTCATTTAAAATTCCATTCATCTCCTCTCTCTCTTTCTGTCTCTTTCACTTTATGAATCTGTGTCTGGCTGTCCATACCTGTCTGAACTCAAGCAGTAAAAGAGTCTCCAATCCTCTCCTCTCCTCTCCTCTCCTCTCCTCTCCTCTCCTCTCCTCTCCTCTCCTCTCCTCTCCTCTCAGGAAAGACAGGGTCAGAGAAAACAGGGAATGCATCATGGTCTGATCCACTGTGTCTAAGTAACCCATCTAAATACCTCACTCAAACAACAGTTCGGGAGAACAGCTTCAGTCAATAATCCCATTTATCTGCTCAGCCATCAGGGAAACAAATAAGCTCTTCTTTGGATTGTGTTAGTTGTCAGACTTTTAATGTGAAAAATATGAAAACCTCTCACTAAACCAGTGTGTGTGTGTCATTCACTTGCTTTCCTTTCGTCTCCCACTCTGAAGATAACTGAATGCTTACAAGGGGAACTGTAACATGGCAGCAGGGGGATGCTGTGACATCAAGTGAAAAGTGAAGCACATGCTGTGGAGCTAGGGAATACATCAACCATTCATTCCTCATCAATGTTAATGTTGCTGTGTGTGCGTCTTTAAGTCTCTGCCGTACAAGTGTTCTCTCTGAGACTCAAGGTCAGCCTAATACTGCTGAAGGAGAGGAGTGGAAGGGGTCCTTTACTTTACACGGCAATTAGCCTAATGAATCATTTCCAATATGATTGACCCACAATGCACATATGTCACGTTTGTCAAGCATTAGTATTCACAGCACAAAATCAACCATCTTTTTCTCGTTTGTACAGTCTCTCGGATCCTGCCCCAGACTAATTATTGGACTGTCCTCATTCAAAGCTTTGTTGTCGCACTAAGCTCAGCGGATCAATGAAGTTCCATTTGAGCATCTGTTGCCCACAACGACCACTCCTAAAGGAGGGCCCTAATAGCAATTTACTGTTGTCCTCTCACAAGGACACTTCTCTTTGTTTCAGAATAATACACAATCAGTAATCAGCACTAAATAAACCATTAATCCTATCAGGACTTTCTTCTACATATAAAAGTCAGGTTTTGTGCACGTACACTGCTTTCAACTAAGAGATGGTAATTGAGTTTAGCATGTGTGTGTAATAGTGAAAAATGATGATGTCCATGTCCTATTTTGCAATTTTTCTTCTTCGCCCACATTGTGTTGTTGAATATAATTAGCTAAAATTAACTCACAAGGCAGCTCAGCCAGTATGAATGATGTGTCTGTGTTTCTTTCTGTGTGTAGGTGTGTGTTTGTAGCTGATGCATGAAATTATATCAACAAATCTGTCATCTCAACATATCTCCTCCTTTCTTGCAAACATCAGCTTTCTCTCCACCAGTGGACCATAAATGGGACATGCTGGTGTTTGCTGGGATATTTCAGGTTGTAATTCTTGGTATCTTCCTATAGACCTAGCATCTGCTGCACCCATGCAGCTCCACCTACATTCTACATATGCATTATTATCTATCTTATCTTATCTCTATGGACATTTGCTATGACATATAGGACAGATAGTCCAGTGATCCTCCCGTCTATCTTGTGTCCTATGCACTGAAAAACAGATGAAATAGAGTCATGCATCCATGCAAACTGGCACACACGACTGGACAAACATGCAGAAAAATGCAGATTACTCTCCGCTTGCACAGAAGCACACAGTATCATCATATACACAGTAACCCAGCTATAATTTGCCTTGTTTAGAGCACGTTTTAATTATACATTTTCTCATTTCTCTCACACATCTGTTTATCACCATATCACAAATTAAAGTATTATTCACAAAATTAGGGACACTATTTTGTGAATCTCCATCATTCTAAATGCAATTCAGTCCAAATGAAGTGATTAGTCTTTGTTAAAAAAGAAATAGGCATAGCCATTAAATGATGGTCTTTCAGCTTTGCTCACATAGACAAACCCCACTAATGGCTTACTCTAACACAATGAAATTATTATAATTATTTTTCACCTTCAGCATAATAAAAATCTACAAATGGAGTGTCAATCATAAACCCAATTCCAGTTAAGATCGCCTGCATGTAATGTGTTGTGGAAATTATATTCCTGGTGAGGGGTTGAGCAAAGAATTGAGTTACAACCAACCGTTGTCTTTGAAGAATTTATTTAACAAAAGAGAATAAACAGAGAAGTACTTAAACACATATACAGCTGGTCCAGAGACCTGTCGCCTAGGGCAGCATCAGGCGTCTGGCCCCGAGCAAAGGGATGCATCATCATTTACACAGTCTAGGTTTCTGTGTTTTGGGGAGCAGAGATCCTCTCTCGGCCTTCAATGAACATTCCAGGAGAGGAACAATAGAGGAAAACACCAAAACAATCTCACAGCTCTGACCTAAACCCTAGTAAATGTGGACAGACTAACATAAGGAGTAAAGGAGAGGAAAGGTTAAGGATAAAAAGACAATAAATATATATCTATAAGCCATAAAGAGCCACAGACACAAATTTCTGCCATAACATAATATACACTATAAATAACTCATAGACACTGACAGCAGCCCCTTTCAGTCTTCTGTGTCATGATACCAAGTTGCCTATTATGCAGGTAAACTAGAAAAAAATATGTTTTTAGAGTATCTTCATTCCACACTGCTTCCAGCTCACAGCTGCATTTATAGGAAGCATTGCCAAATCTTATATGGCAGCATATCAAAGGGAATGATTATAGTATGATCTCTGGCGAGACCACAGTTAGCCAGTCAGTCTTCATGGATATCAACTATCTTCTGCTGCCAATGCCACCACAATTGTAGATTTTAAACGATGTGTGGTGGATTCCTGCTGAATGTTTTCATGGTTATGGTGACTTACTTTTGTTACCGAAATATGATAGTTGTCAGTTCATGTGGAACTTCCATTTTAGCCATTTGGGTGTGACACTATGGTTGCTACTCCTCCTACTACTATGTATTAGCTGCAGCAGAGATAAATAAACTCATCCATGTGCAAATTAAGCAAGGGACTATGTGTGCTCAGATCAGGATCTGAGGGATTTTCACATTGTTAATTTTCACCATTATTAATGTGTGGTGATGGCGCAATGGATAAGACACATGCCTTTGGTGTCCCATCCACCAATGTGTCCCTGAGCAAGACAGTTAACCCCTAGTTGCTCCAAAGGTGTGCAACCTCTGACATGTATAGCAATTATAAGTGGCTTTGGATAAAAGCGTCAGCTAAATGAATAAATATATTATTAATGATTTATTTATCACTAATGAGACTGACTTGAATGCACTATGATCAGCACATGTAATCTGTGGGTTTGTTTACTGTCTTCCCCTTATTGTACAAAATGTTAATAAGATGTGAATTTAAACTGCACGTTATGCCAGTTTTTCTATGTGATTATAGAAATCATTCCTGCTAAAATAAAATGATCATTGAAATAATCAGAGGAAAGTGAAGAGGCTTTGTGTTAGAGATGAAATTAAGGCCTGAGTTGCACTTCGTGTTTAAATTGGTCCTCGCTGTGTGAGCTATATATCTTCTAATGTGTCTGACAGTCCATTTTCATCATAACAGTCATCTCCCAGGAGTGAAATAATGTCTGCCCTCCAGGCGATGTAAATGAAGAAAAATGTAAAGGCCTGAGCCAAGGCTCAGACTGGGTGAAGTTAAACCTGATTGAAACTAATGGATGTATGGCCTCACTTCATCTCAAGGGATGAAACCCAGAAATGTCAAATTAGAATGTAATTACCTTTATTGCAGTCTCCTGTCTTGTGTCTGAATATCCAACATGGATACTTTTCACTCATAATACAAAATAAGTTACAGTTGTTACTGTAACACGCTAACATGTGTCTGTCAGAATTACTCTAAAATTACTTCAAATGTGTGGCTCAATCAACTCTACACATCTAAATATGCTCTCTGAAGAAAATGGCCTGAATTCTGCTTCCATATTTTATTACCTAGTCTTTTGCTCTAGTATGTTTCACTTAGGGTCCAATAAAAAATGGTTTTACTGTGGAGTACATGCTGATCCTTTTAAATGCAGGAGCCCCATTAAAGCCCTGAGATCATGAAGAATGGAATGGTTGATTTAAACTGGGCAATACGCAACCTTCATGGCCTGACTATTTATTTAAACAAATGTCAGTGGTGTCATATATATCAAGATTGGGGTCACAAGTCCATTTATGGTTCTCTGTCAAGGGAAGTAATGAAATGGTCTCATAAAAGGCACAAAGAGCACATTATGCTGATTACTAAATTGAAATTAATTACCAGACAAATTACATTTGCCTTTGAAGTTCGCATTAATGTCCTTAAGAGAGTAAAGTAAAACATACATGTACAAAAATCACAGAAACAAATATTTTTAAAAGGGTTTAACTTTCTGGGGGTATCTTATTAGTTTAGACGATACATTTAAGAAACATGAAGAATGACATTTACTCATGGCAAAACACCATGTCCCATTAGGAAAACATATCTATAAAGCCTACAGGCCCACTTTAAATGTGATTGGTGGCAATATTTCAACAAGCCTATTATTTTTCAGGACATGGCACCCTCCTGTGGCTCCTGTGGAAAACTGATATTAGTATGAAACATGATAATTATCCTAAAATATATCATTTCAGTAATGATACAGTCACTAAGCGACAGGTGGAAAAATGAACGCGTTACGTAATTCAAATGAACAATTCGGAACATAATGAATATCACAAGCTGAGTGAAAATAAACAGAAACCTGCCTGTCCTGTGGGGGGCGCTGTTACAGACACCCGCGGACATTTGGAGAAGGACAGTGTGCGGCTGTTTGCTGGTAACGGAAGTGTGACTGTTGTGTATCCGGCAGTGAGCCTCCTCGTCGTTGGTGTAACGATGGCAAGCGCTGCAGCAAAACAAGGTCCTAAAATTGTCTCCAAAACATCTGCGGGAGGCACCGGGGCGGCGGGGGCTAGCGGCGGGCCCCCGATAATGCCCCTGGCCTCTCCGCTCATGGGGAAAAAGAAGAAACCGTTTCTGGGGATGCCCGCTCCGCTGGGCTACGTCCCCGGTCTGGGCAGAGGGTAAGCTAACTTGCCTAGCTCGCATGCTAGCTACCAATAGCTCCTTAGCTAGTAAGCTAGGCTAAGTTATGTCTGAAAACGTTAGGTGAAGTCGGTTGTTCAACAACTATTGTGAGTTGTAATACGCTTATGCTGGGAACTGAACTGAGGTGAAAAAAAAGCCGTACTAATGCAGTAGTCATATTAAAGTACACAACAGCAACTTGACAAATACTTGAACTCTGTATCATCTGTGGGTGCATTGATTTGATCCTTTTTCGCGTAACGTTCAAATCAAATAAGCAAACAAGGGAAATGTGGCAGGCCCTTCTTTTAGATCTTGTAATTATTTCCTCATGCAGGCAGATTAAAAGTATGTTGAAACCTGCTGTCAATTTGCTGCAAACAGTGTTGAAAGTGAAAACTTATGCTTGTCACATAACTAACGTAACTGGTATATGGCTGCCTGGCTTAAATGACAAGGCAGTATGGTCTAATGTTCATTAAAATGATCAAAACATCGCTTAAAAGCATAGATAAGCTTGTCAAGTAACATCATCAGCAGGTTATGGATTAAGTTGAACAGCACAGTGCATGTTTATCACAACGCTGCCTATGTTTATGTGTGTGACATTTAAATGAATTGCTCCTCTCCAGTGCAACTGGTTTCACCACCCGATCTGATATCGGGCCTGCTCGTGATGCCAACGATCCTGTGGATGACCGACATGCACCCCCAGGGAAGAGGACGGTTGGCGACCAAATGAAAAAAAACCAGGATGATGATGATGAAGATTTGAACGATACAAACTATGATGAGGTACCTAGTTATTTGATGTTTTTGTTGTAGGGCTGTTTGCAAGGACTTGATTTATCCTTTCGATATTTAAAGTTGACTAGAAGATGACACTGCCTATGTGATTATTACATATTGTATTCGGTCATTCTAATAACACGAACCATCCCTTTTTTGTGTAGTTTAATGGATATGCAGGTAGCTTGTTCTCCAGTGGGCCCTATGAGAAGGATGATGAAGAAGCGGACGCTATATATGCAGCACTGGACAAGAGGATGGATGAAAGACGCAAAGAAAGAAGGTTACTAAAAACTGTGTCTTGTTTTCACACAGTTTTAAGGAACCAAGTTTTACACAAAAGATACTTGATGTGAGTGTAATTTTAAATGGTGGGTTGTATATTTTCAGGGAGCTGAGAGAAAAGGAGGAAATTGAAAAATACCGTATGGAGCGACCCAAAATCCAGCAGCAGTTCTCAGATCTAAAGGTAACACATTATTGACAAACTGTTGCCATACTTTTCCACTCTTCTTACACCTGACCTATAATATTTTGTCACTGTTGGGTGAAAAACAACATCCTCCCAAACTATGAACACCACCATGCTGCCATAAATCTCTTACAAATAAACCACATATGTCTTTGATGAATCAAAAAGGGAGGGAAAAGTCACACACTGATATCAAAATTATGCAGATCATCCTTTCAGTACATCTTGCTTTCTTGGCACTTAAAATGAGTCCATGCTGTCCCATGATCAGAGATATATTTCTACTACATTTCTGTCATTTCAAGTTGATTCATATTACACTCTGGTCACATGTCACGCAAGAGTAAAGCAGTCTGCAGGTGGAGCGTCAACTTTGCACCTTACGCTGTACCTTGACTTGTTTTTGTACAATGGCCTTAAGCTTGACAGAAGCAGACTCTACGGAAACTTTAGTGTCACAAAGGGAATGAAACTAGCACCCGCCACGCACGGGTAACTTGGTGGTGCTGGGTAAAATCGTCGGTCCATCCGCTGCTTTGACGGACAGGACAAATGCGCAACAGAAAGACACCTGTAGTAAGGTAAGCATATTGTGGCGATCGGTGCCTGCATCACACACTCAGCCACCAGTTAGCTCAGGAAATATTTGTGAAATGGTGTTTCAAACCAAACTCGTGAGTCCGAAAGAGGCCCAGTCTGTCCCGAATTACAGCCAGTGTGCTGCTTACTACCATTGGAGGCTGCGGGGGTGGGGAACTCCGGTGTTGTCAGAGAATTACTAAGCTTGTCTATTAAACACGAGAGGCTTCACTTGGTCATTTACGTTGGCCAACTTTTGAAATTAACCTCAAACTGAGTATTTTTATTGTTTGCTTTCTGGGATATAGAAAAGGAGGTTTTTGATGAGGGATAGCTTCCTAGGAGATTTGAACCGAGATAAAAACTCTATAATTGGTGGTTGAACTGTGGATTTTGTATTGAGCGCTTACTGTATAATACACTGTGGTGAACTTAGTTTTTGTTGTGGTCTGTAGGTAGGCCGACCTGATGATAATATATCATAATATTTAATGCCATGACTTGACTCAAATTATCTTTCTCATATTATTAAAATTTGACACTTCTTCACCACCATTGATCATAATAATAATAATTCATGCATCACCTAATTTCCAAAATCGTTCAGACCTAATTCATATATTTATTTCATCCTTCTTCATTCTTTCTTTTCCATCTCTTCACAGAGGAAGTTGGCAGAGGTGTCAGAAGAGGAGTGGCTGAGCATCCCTGAGGTGGGAGATGCCAGGAATAAGCGCCAGAGAAATCCCCGCTACGAGAAACTAACTCCTGTCCCCGACAGCTTCTTCTCCAAACACCTGCAGACTGGAGAAAACCATACCACTGTTGACCCTCTGCAAGGGGTTAGTATACATACATACAAACACACATTCACTTGCTGCTGACATCCATATAAAAACACATGATGTAGTTTCATCCTGTACCAGCAGGAGTCAGGATAAATCACTTCAACTGTACTATTAATACAGTTTAAAAATGTTCCCTTCTTCATGCCGTCATGCAACCTCAGGGACCTCCCAGCATAGCTGGTTTGCACAGTGTGGAAAATATGCCAATGTTTTTGATAAATAGTGTGAGGAATGAAAATAAATGTCTTTTAAACATGTTAAAACGAAAGCAAAACTAAACTTTGTAACTGTAAACTGGAACCTATTTCTGCTGAGATTGATCACATCACATTTCTTGGCACAGCATGGTCATTTTACTGTACTTAAATTGAAAACAAATGAAAACATAAAAGAGTTTGGGTTTTTGCCATGCACATTTAGGATTTATTTATCACTATAAATTAACTTGTATAGTTCAGTTCTGCAGAAAAGAGGCTTGTCACACTTATAATTTTCACAAGTATCATTTACAAGTGATGAGAAAAGTATCATGTTTCATAAGCTTTTCCACAATGCTGTAACAAAATTCTCACTTAAGAGAGTATAATGCTCCTCTCCATTATCATTGTTTCTTCTCTCCACTAGCTGGGAGGTCTGAACACGCCTTATCCAGGAAGCATGACCCCTGGCTTGATGACACCAGGGACGGGAGAACTGGACATGAGGAAAATCGGACAGGCCAGGAACACACTTATGGATATGAGGCTCAGCCAGGTAACTAATGATTATCCTTTACTGTTCTGTCATTTATACTCTGCTGTCATTATCCCAATACACAGGAATTGTTTTCTCTTACCTGTGTCTGCCTATATCTGTCTTCAGGTGTCTGACTCAGTGAGCGGACAAACAGTGGTGGATCCTAAGGGTTACCTGACAGATCTCAACTCAATGATCCCCACACATGGGGGAGACATCAGGTAGGGACACACTGGAAACACAAGACGCTCCTAGGCCAGTGGTCTCCAATAGGCAGCCCGTGGGCCAAAGCTGGCCCACCAGCAATAATATCTGGCCCATGGCCAGATTACTTTGATAGCGGCAAAAAACCCCAAAATAATAGCGGCTGGTGCTGAAACAGATCTCAGACATGACACCAAAAGTTACTGACATAAACACTTCCTTTTAAGTGATTTCCGCCTACAAAATAAAAACGTGAGATCGTATTTGCAGCAGGCCTTTATGTTATGTTTAATTGAGAGCTTTTACTTTGAAAGTTCTGAAGGAAATTCAAAATAGTCTCTGGTTTGCATGACACACCTCAGAAAATGTGAGATTGGATTCCCCAGAATGAGAAAAGCAGGATTTTCCTCTTCCTGGAGATACTGGGAAAATGGAAAGCGTCTCGCCGGGACACACATTCTCCTGCACATGCTTGATTGTGCTTGATGTAAAACGATACGCATAATCAGTTTGTTGAAAAGGTTGGGAAAAAAATACTAGCAGCAAGTGGGAATTGAACACACAACTCCTCAAACAGGTGTCCTGTGCACTACTGACTAAAGGTTATGAGGCACACAATAAATAATGTATCATAAATAATCAATTGACTAGACCTATGTTCTGGCCCGCCATCTAATGACTTGAAAAAAATACCAGACTGATTTGCCGACCCCTGTCTTAGGCTGTCTTTATGTTGAAGAAATTGTTGTTGTTGTGTGTGTGGCTTATAGTTTACCTTTGGCTCTTTATGTCCAGTGACATCAAGAAGGCTCGTCTGCTATTGAAATCAGTGAGGGAGACCAATCCTCATCACCCTCCTGCCTGGATTGCCTCTGCCAGGCTGGAGGAGGTGACCGGCAAACTGCAGGTGGCCAGGAACCTGATCATGAAAGGCACAGAGATGTGTGTTAAGGTAAAGAATGATGGACACATGTATATTAAATCTGGCCTACGCATATGTGCAAATGGATATGTCATTGTGTTGTTAGTTCATTCAGACCACAGGCTTTAATAAAATGTGTTGATTTGTTTGTTGTTGGTCGATGTTATACACTCATGTTCAGTGGAAGAAGCTAAGTAACAGACCTTTCAGTCTGCTTTACCAGCTGTTTAGTTAAATGACGTAATACTATCCAGCTGAGTTGTGGAAAGTGGTCCTTGCATCCTGTTGATTTCAAGCATTTCTTGTGTCCCTAGAGTGAGGATGTATGGCTGGAGGCAGCCAGGCTCCAACCTGGTGACACAGCCAAAGCAGTGGTAGCCCAGGCTGTCCGCCACCTGCCACAGTCTGTCCGCATCTACATCAGAGCTGCAGAGCTGGAGACAGATGTCAGGGCCAAGAAACGAGTCCTCAGGAAGGGTAAGGTTCTCACTATGAAACATTTCTGGGCGCGTTGATGTTTGACAAGACATGTTGCTGTTATGTTGTTATAAGGAGTGTTTTTATGGGCCTTCTCAGCGGTGCATACTAGGGCTCGCCCATATGTCATTTTGGAGCTTCGAAGCTTTGATGGCAATTAACGGCGAATAATCGAAGCTTTGACACCAAAATATTAGTCTAAACGATATGAACGAGGTCCTTCTTTTCATTGTCGAGGAATTTCAGTTGCTTGAATTGCTGGTCTAGCGCTGAAGAAAAGATGTAGATGCTACTGGGCTCCAAACTTAACAGTTGCCATCTGCTGTCAATCTCTGTGACAAGGGTTTTCTTCGACATATTCTGTCCTGTTTTAGAGCTGTATTTATGCATAGCTGTAGTGTGTGTCCTGAGCAGCAGACCCCCTAGAACATTGACCCATTTCTCCGGTTCTTCAGCGTCTCAGTACACAGTTTCATATTGCTGGCATTGTCGTGAACAACAGCTACTCGCTTATAATTTGGAATAGCAAAGGTGTCCGCTGCGACTCCAAGCTGTTGTGCAATGTTGCCTCCCGTATGGCTCACTTCAATTACGTTTGTTTCCAAAACGACATCAGAAAGTTCCCACTCCGTAGCTATAAAGTGACAGGAGACAGCCGTGTATGCCTCCATACTCACAGAGGTCCAAATGTCGGTTGTGAAAGTTAAGGCCGTTGCGCTTTCACAACTTGGTCTCGCAGATCAAAATATATTAGGTAAACTAAGCTTGCTAGCTAGTATGGTCTTGGTTTTTTAGACTGTAAAACAATAGTCTACTACTCACAGAATTGAGGTGATTTTTTTCAAGCGTGTTGTGCTACCATGGTAGGCCAGTTTCAAATATTTGGCATACTACCTTTGTCTTGTCATCATTTAATTTAAAGTGCTCCCACACAGCTGAGGACTTCGGCATTTTGTCTTCTCTTCTAGATGAACTGAAGTGTGACTCATGTTAGGTGAAAAAAAAGTCGAAAATTGAAAATCGATTATGTACCCTACAAGCGAATATTTGTATCCAGCCCTAGTGCATACGTGAATGAATACATCACAATTTCCCTGCCAAAAGGAAGACACTAATTTCTGCTGGCCAAAAATTCAAAACCAGTCTTCGTCTTATAACAATCTTTGTCTTGTAACAGCAACCCCACAGAACTACTCGTCCAGGCAAACCTACAATTCCATAAAAGATGTCATAAGGGTTACATTTGGCGGCTGTGATTCTGGCTTCTCATCAAGGCCAGGCACCCTGTTTGAACCATCATGTCAATGCCCTAACACACACACACACACACACACACACACACACACACACACACACCAATTTCCCAGCAGCATACCCCACTGACAGAGATGGATGGGGAGCTTCCCCTGTGTAAGAGTGCTCTTCGCCTCTACATGTTCAGTTGCCTCTGCTCCTCTTTTTTCCACTACATACACAACACTCTGCCTTCCTGCTCGACACTACTGAACTTTATTATTATTGCAGGATATGCTGTTTGGTGTTTGTTTTTATTACTTGTGTGATCAGAGAAATTTGTAGTGTCTCCATTTCCTTTTTTGCCACTGTATATGATGTGTTGCCAGTTTCAACGTAGTTAGGTCTGTGTAATCTCAGTATTAAAATGTTGCTGTTATTGTGTCAGAATTGCCAGTTGATTGAACAGAGAGCCTGTAACGGCTTTTGATTTTTGTCAGTTAGTTTGTCAATGAAATAACAGTTGTGTTATTGTTACCCATGTAGCCCTGGAGAATGTGTCCAAGTCAGTTCGACTGTGGAAGACAGCTGTTGAGCTGGAAGAGCCAGAGGATGCCAGGATAATGCTTAGCAGAGCTGTGGAGTGCTGCCCTACTAGTGTGGAGGTATACAGAATAGCGCACACTGTAACGCAACACACGAGCCTTTACACCTACCTCTGTATCTAACTATTTCTGTCTGTCTTCTCCAGCTGTGGCTGGCTCTGGCACGATTAGAGACGTACGAGAACGCCCGTCGTGTCCTGAACAAAGCTCGAGAGAACATCCCCACCGATCGCCACATCTGGATCACTGCTGCCAAGTTGGAGGAGGCCAATGGCAACACTCAGATGGTGGAAAAGATCATTGACAGAGCCATCACTTCACTACGTGCCAATGGCGTGGAGATCAACAGAGAGCAGTGGATACAGGTGTGTTCCTGCGGCTGTGCAGCTTTTGACATAGAGAGAGAATAGGGTTTCCTGCAGCTGTTTATATCAGATGGAAACTTCTTCAGTTTAAAAAAAAAAAAAAAATTGAGTTCCCTAAGGTTGTAAAAAATGAACAGACTTTCTTGATAAGAAATCTTCAAGGTAAAAGAAGACCGAAGTATTGTGTTAAACAGCAAAAGCCATATTTTAAATCAGTAACAGTATTGTTACGATTGGATTGCATTATAATTTGGTGTTTATCATATACAGATCCCCTAATGTACTGTTTAAATAGAAGGTGCAGTACTTGATCCAAATGCAGATTTTCACTGTCAAGGTCTCTAAATAAGGAAATTATTTATTGATGTTTTTAAAAAAGTCAAAGTCAGAAGTTGGACGATCGTCCCTTTAAACCTTGATGTTAAAGGAGTATAGGCTGTATCATGTTTTTGTCAGCTTTAATAGCATGCCAGCATAGTTTGGCAGCGCTGTCCTCCACTTATTCATGTGGGTGCAACAGAATACAAGCCATCACAGTGACTGGTGTTTTGTTTAGTGCAGTTCACTATTGTTTTGCAATAATAAACCTTCCCTGCAGTCCCTTGTTTGTTCTTTTTTCTTCTTTTCCTTGAAGACCTAGCTTTTTTTGCATATGCCAAACAAAAACAGATTAACTTTAAAGTTGCAAGATTTGGCAGCTCTTAAAAAATTATTTTTATGTATAATTGGTCCCTGAGCAAAGCCTTTGTTTTGCCTACAAATATCATCCTTGTAGTGAAGACCCCTCATAAAAGACAAATTATCTAAAAACTGTGTGTCATCTGCAAGGATATCTAGGTTCATATAGAGGTTTCTGGCCCGAGTTGTTGAAGACCATGCCTCAATTCTGTTGCATTCTCCTTCTGTATAACACCCACATCTCTTTACTCCTAAATGTTTCTTCTTGTCCTGCAGGATGCAGAGGAGTGTGACAAAGCAGGCAGTGTGGCTACCTGCCAGGCTGTGATCAGGGCAGTCATAGGGATAGGCATTGAGGAGGAGGACCGCAAACACACCTGGATGGAAGATGCAGACAGTGTGAGTATCAATTTATCTGTTTGTTTTTTTTTAATCAGCCACGTTCAGACCCAGACACCTAGATGGGTCATTCACATGCTAATTTGCTGTCGGGTTTAACTTAAGTGAAATGCTTGTCCGTTGCGTTTCAGTGTGTGGCTCATGGAGCGCTGGAGTGTGCCAGGGCCATCTACGCCCATGCTCTGCAGGTGTTCCCCAGTAAAAAAAGCGTCTGGCTTAGAGCTGCTTACTTTGAGAAAAATAACGGTACCAGGTGACCAGACTTTATTTCTAAATGTAGCAAACAGTAGTGATCACATTTGTGAATGTTTTAATCAATCACTTTAGTAAGAGTCTGCCATTAACACTCTGTTCTCTCCTTTACCTCTCATGTGCTTCATCAACTGCCACTGTGCTTCTCCCATCCATTACTCTTCCATGTCTCAATGCGTCTCTCAGAGAGTCTTTGGAGGCCCTGCTTCAAAGGGCTGTGGCTCACTGTCCCAAGGCAGAGGTCCTGTGGCTGATGGGGGCCAAGTCCAAGTGGCTGGCTGAGGACGTGCCTGCAGCTAGAAGTATCCTCGCTCTGGCTTTCCAGGTGATGATAAAGTTATGCAAACTTTGACTTGTTCACGTAGTATCCAGACGATCCTGTGTCTAACTCTTTTCCGTTCCTGTCTTCTCCCCCTCTTACGCTCTATCTCTGTTCCTCTTCTTTATATTTTTCTCTCTAGGCTAACCCAAACAGTGAAGAGATCTGGCTGGCTGCTGTCAAGCTGGAGTCTGAGAATAATGAGTATGAAAGAGCCCGTCGACTGCTGGCCAAGGCCCGCAGCAGTGCTCCAACTGCCCGGGTGAGTTTGTGTGTGTGTAAGTGAGAAAATGTAAAAGAGACAGAGAGACTGCCCCTATTTCAAACGCTAATGAGGATTCAGTACAAATCTGTACAAATCCACTTATCTGCTAGAATTAGGTAAATGGTTTTACCATTCAGGTTTTAATGTTGTGTTTTGTCAGTCACAAACTTCAAGGTGTTTTTATTTCATCTGGTATTTCCTGAGTTGTAATACAGACTGAAAATAGATAACAAAAGAACAGTACTTTCCTAAGAGGATTGATGGAACAAATACACACTCTCTAACTTTATTGGCTGTTCGTTTGTACGAGGGAAGATTGCAATTGCGATTTAACTTTCCTGTCCTTTTACTCTGTAACAGCCCTTCTGTGACCCTGTGTACAAGTACAGACAGTTTGTTTTTCATTATGTAATGCTGGTATTAATAGAGCTCTGACCCATGTTTTAGGGGCGCATTGATAATCAGATTGCATCCTTCTCTGCTTTAAAGCCAGTGTTTTATAGTAAGTTAATAGTGCAGTGTACTTGAGGTGTCTTTTCCAAACATGCTGTCTTTCTCAGGTTCAGGCTTGCCAGGTTTCTCCATCTCTAGACAATCAGCACTACTCAGGTTGACAGATTCTGTCAGCAGTGCACTTAATCTATTATTCTCTCTCTCAGGTGATCTGGCTACACTCCCTTTAGTTATCTGTATTGTATTTGCTGACAGATAAGACTAAGAGATCCTGCAAAGACAACTTTGTGGTGTTAATAAAGCAGTTTAGCATTTAGGCGATGTCATAGGAAGGTGGCGTTTGATATATTTTTAAGCTGGTAACAGATGGCAGAAAGATACTTTACAACAGCAACTTGACTTTCTTTGCCTGCAAAAAGCCACAAGCCCCACTTAAAGGAAGGAAGGAAGGAAGGTGGCCTTGTGGGTTACCTTAATCCTAATATGTGACGTAGCAGGGTTTGTTGTGGGAAGGGAGTCTCTTCTGGTGCCAGCATGTTACCATCGTTGTAACTAAATGGCTAAAGTGGCTAAATGGCTGTGTGCTGTCACAAAAGAGAAATAAGAAGTCGCTGTTTACACAATGTTTTTATGGCCTCCTCTTGCAACCTACCACAGATAAATGTTACCAGCTGAAACACTGAACTAGTTAGAAAACCGTAGTGATGGTGGACAGTGGGGGTCAATCAAAGAACTGCTATAAGTCTCAGTATACAAGGCCAGAAACATTTGAAAGGGAAGTTCACGAGTTCTGTTCATACATAATTCCCGGGTGATGAGTGTGGGTCTGTTTTGTAATCTCTACAGGTATTTATGAAGTCAGTGAAGTTGGAGTGGGTGTTGGGGAACATAGAAGCTGCACAGGAGTTGTGCACAGAGGCCCTGAAACACTATGAGGACTTCCCCAAACTTTGGATGATGAGAGGCCAGATAGAAGAGCAGTGTGAAAACATGGATAAGGCCAGGGAGGCCTACAACCAAGGGGTAAGGCAGGGAAGTGTTTAAGTTCATATATATATATATATATATATTAGTCTCGCCAAATTTTTTAACAAGTACTATGCATATTCTTCTGCATAGTTTTCTCATCTTGTTTTACCTATACCATTTTGTACAGATATCCTAAGTGTTACTCTTTACTGTAATACCACTTTTAATACCAACTGACCTACCTTTCTAAATAGACGTCACCTTCCACAAACTGTATTTATATTCTCTACTGCATTTTGTAGTTTTATATACTCTATACTACATTTATATTTTTTATTTTGTATATTTATATGTAAAACTACATGTTGAATGGCACAACGTTGTTTTATCTTCGCCAGGTTGCCATTGCAAATGAGAATCTGTTCTTAATCAGCCTACCTGGTTAAATAAAGGAAAAATAAATTATTATTAAAATATGTGTATGTGTGAAAGGATCAAGGACCATGGAAGTTGGGCATTTTCAGTTATACATGCTTTTGATGAAAATGAGTGTTTCCCTAATATTTAAAATAAAAGTGATCAATGACTTGTTTGTTGCTGTAGTTGAAAAAGTGTCCCCACTCGGGGGCTCTGTGGTTGCTGCTGTCTCGTCTTGAAGAGAGAGTGGGCCAGCTGACCAGAGCCAGAGCGATCCTGGAGAAGGCACGACTCAAGAACCCCCAGAGCCCTGAGCTTTGGTGAGTTAATACACAACAGAGAAAATGTGGTAAGCTGCTTGAATGCAGAAGAAGCAGGACGCTGTCTACCGAAGAGCTTTAAATTAAAACATGTCACCTGTGTAGACAAGATATTGCAGTAAGCAAACGAACTAGGATCTTTGTTTTTTATGCCTTTTTAAAGCAAGTTTTGTTTGCGCGCTGAGCAGTTAAAAATATTTACTTTGGCATTCAAGTGGCTTACTTTTTCACCTTCACTGATATATTTTTTGGCTCTTGAACCTTTTCACTACACTACAAGGAAGAGAAAATGTGGGCAAACTTCCAGACACACCCCCCTGGTTTTCTTTGTTTCTGTAGCAGTGAACAAAGGAAATGTATACATTAAAGAACATGTTCATTTGAAAATAATACAATTATGATTAATTTGCTTTCTAAATGTGCTTTTAACACATTTATTAAAATATATAGAGAGAGTTTAAATCTAGACCTCTAAAATTTGTGATGTGATCATATTACCAGGTTGGAGTCAGTCAGGCTGGAGTTCCGGGCTGGACTGAAGAACATCTCCAACACACTGATGGCCAAAGCCCTGCAGGAGTGCCCCAATTCAGGTGAGAATAAATTTCTGCTGTTGGGGGAAATCCCTTTATAAACCTTATGTTTGTTTTTTCAGAAACCAAGAAAAACAGCCCGTTTTCCTTTGATGACAGTGGGTTTTGAAAGGGCCTAATAGGGCTGGGAATTTTCTCAACCTAATAGAGTAGATGTCTTTAAAGCCAAAGCCAAGCTTATGCTTACCTGTGTGTGGACCCCAATATACTTTCCTTTATTATACCTGCTTCAACCAACTGATGGGAAAAATCATGTTCTACATAAGCCTGACTGACATTTATTTACCTGTCATACTCGCTTGTAGAGAGAAATCAGATCAAATCGTGGGTGATCTTTCTTTTACACTAAAAACTAAATTAGAGTTAGAAAAACAAGTTCACACGACAACAGAGCCAGTACCCTCCTTACCCTCCTTTCTATGTTTCAATGTATTCCAAAAAACATCTCTAGAACAAAATGATGTGTTGAGATGGAAATCTTTGTACTTGTATGTTTCCATAATCTCAAATTCAGTTTCACCCTCACTCCTGTTTCTGTCCTGCAAGGTATCCTGTGGGCTGAGGCAGTGTTTTTGGAGGCCAGGCCCCAGAGGAAGACTAAGAGTGTGGATGCTTTGAAGAAGTGTGAACATGATCCCCATGTTTTGCTCGCTGTTGCCAAGTATGACTTTTCACAGATTTCCACTCTTCTTCTCAATAATAGGCTCTTTATGCAGGTCTCGATCATCATATTTTCTCTTTTATTCTAGCTATCATTGTAGATATTTAGCAAACCTTTAGTCATAATACTTGAATTTGTATTTATTTCAAATGCAATCTTGTGCACACATTTTAGGTTGTTCTGGAGTGAGCGTAAGATCACCAAAGCCAGAGAGTGGTTCCTAAGGACAGTAAAGATTGAGCCAGACCTGGGAGATGCTTGGGCTCTGTTCTACAAGTTTGAGCTGCAGCATGGCACAGAGGCAAGGATCTTATTATTGTCTTTCCTGATCTCAGTATAAAACGTGTGTGTGGGGGTGGGTGGGTGTCACGGTGACATTGGAATGAGTCCAATGTCAAGTTCCCATGATTTACTTTTCATGGAGAATGAGAACTGCATCCTGCAGTCAGATGCCAGAAGTTCATTTCAAGTAGCTCTGGTTTGTCACAGTAGAAAGAGCTATGACTGCACTGTTAATGTTGTGCTAATGTTATCATTGTATCATTTATCACAAAAAGGGGGACATCATTAAAAGCTGTTCTGGACAAAACACAAAACTGTTGACAAATATTTAGGCAGAGGAGTACATCCAGAAATAAGCCTAACGCAGTCTGCTTTCTTCAGTTGTAAACATTTTCTTTCAAAGTAGTGAAGGTGGTTAAAGATTAAAGGTCCCTTATTTTAGAAAATACACTTTTACATGTGTTTCCAACATAAATATGTGTGTGTAAAGACCCCCAAACTTGTGTTATGGGTGTCTAACCTCACTTCTCTGCGTCAATCAGGAACAGCAGGAAGAGGTGCGAAAGCGCTGTGAGAATGCGGAGCCCCGGCATGGAGAGCTGTGGTGTGCCGAGTCCAAACACGTCCTGAACTGGCAGAAGAAGACAGGAGAGATCTTAGCGGAGGTAGCCAGCAAGATCAAGAACACATTCTGAGACTGAGGAAATTTACACTAAAAAACACCTTGAGGACTCTGGCAGTCACCAGTCAAGCAGGAAACGGCTACAAACATGCTCGACTACTGTTCCCTACCATGACTTGCTCATCTGTGCCAGATGCATAGTATTGACACACATTTTTCACGTTTTGTTTTACGCAATTGAATCACAGTTTCAATATGTACTTATCAACAGAAAATAATGATTTGATGTCAAAGTGACAACAAATCTATACAAATTTTAAATTAAGTACCAATACAAAATTCAAAATCACTGATTACCCACCTAAGTGAGTAAGTAGTAGCATCAGTAGGAGGCTTTTGGGGAGCGCATGGGGGTTTGTCGTGAACTGCAGTTTTCAAGTCTTCAGATGGATTGAGGTCTGGACTTTGGCTTTATGTTTGAGGGAGTTGTTTTGCTGGGAAGTAACTCTTCTCCCAAGTCTATTACAGAGGAAATTGTTTTGCTTGCTCTAAAAATAAAAAAATCCAGTGCATCCACTTTTCACTTTTTGATTACACACTTTTGATCTCCATGCAGCACATGATGATAATGAAAATTCTGATACTAATTGGTTCCACCAATAATGATGTAGGTGTGTCATAGTAGAGAGGGTTAAAAAGCAGTCAGTTATTTTATTTGTACAAAAATAGTTAGTTTTCACATTGACATCAGTCTGGTTTTCTGCTGATTAGTGTTGAAATTCAGAATTCAGCCATCTTGATTGTTGTACAAAATTGTAAAACAAACATGAAAAGGCAGAAATTAATATGAATACTTTAATAGCTGCTGTAAGAGAGAAATATATAAAACACACACAGGTTAACTGACCTCTTTAGGTACCAAATCTTCAGTTGTCATTGTCAAAACATGTATAAAAAAAGTTTTCTGTCTTGTCCACATGGATACGAAAGAGGTTCAGATTTGGCATTTCTGTTTAGCTGTGTATATAAACATACTATTACATGATTTCTCATGTAAGTAATAAACTTTGTTATTTTTTTTTTTTTTTTTACATAGCCTGCTTGATTTGTGTTGAATACCTTACAGGCATCCAATAAACAAATAACAAACTGTGTTGCACCATTTCCCGCTTCTCCCAAACAAGTCACATTATAAACATGTTTTATTGTGATTTGAATGTCAAATCCAATCCTGAGTGCACAGTCAGTTTCTTTGTGAGAGGTGTTTTCCCAGACATTTCAGTCCCAAGAGTTGTAACCACATCAATCCTCCCATTCTGTTCCCATGCATGGTCGGCATTTTGGTTGGTCTGTGAGGAATTTCATTGTAACTTTGTACCTTTTTTAGTTTGGACTGGGCTGGATCACTGCATTATGTACGTTTTTCTACAGTATCGCCATTAAAAATAGTTTTAATTTTAGAGGTTTTCTGTAGCGTTCATTATAGTTTAGGGACTTGATTCCCACTTCAGTCGCCCTAAGTGAAATGTATTTCCAAACGGCGCTGTGCAATATAAGCATCCACCTTCACACCACTCCTCCTCTGCTATCACGTCTTTCCAACGAAACCGAAAGGATGAAGGCAAGTGATCGATTGCAGACCTTTTCCCCGACTTGATCGGACTGGAGTTTGGTGAAATCCTAAACTCTGTCAGTAATCCATGACGGGAAAGGAAACTGGAGCAGAAGTGACTTGAGTGATGTTGGAAACCACGGAGCAACATATCGTAATTCCGCCACCAGGGGAAGTGTAAAAAGACTGAAAAATAACAGAAAGGATTTGGCGATAGTTAACGCGGCCGACTGAGGAGTAATTCCTTGGATCGCCCTGTTTGAGATGGCTTTGCTTGTCTGAGGATCCTGCAGCAGAACATGATAAATGGTACGTGTGGTTTTAACATGTGGTGCGTATTGACGCAACAGATGAGGACATTGTTGAAAGACGCGCCTTTGATGATGAAGCCTGTACACTTCTGTAATTCAGTTGTTAATGTAGATTGGACTTTTTACTCACATTTTATCTATTATAACACCTCTCTCTTTCACAGTGTCTGACCACTCTACTCCGTAGTGTCCTGGTGGTTCTCTTGCTGGCCAGCTGTTTTTGTAAACGTAGATGTAACTATAAAGAAATCCTGGGCTCCTACAGAGAGGTCGTCTTCGTTGAGCTGCAGAATCTGGTATGAGAACATTGTTGCAGATATCTCTTTGTGATTTTGTGTGACTTTGATGGAGGCATATTTAAAGTAAATGTATTTATTTAGTCGCTCCATTAACCGGCATGCTCTAAATGTCAGGTTATTGGAGTCAGTTGCAGCTGTAGTTAAACATGTGGGGGCACTTCTTGGATGTCCTGTAAAAAGGCTGCAGAGTGTTTGCCACTGTCTTCACTGCATCAGTAAATCTCATATCTGATTCAATTACTCTTTTGAATGTAATGAAATGTATTTTCTATATATATATATATATCCATATTTGGTTGCTCTTTTCCAGAATTTGACTGGCTCATTTAATACCTCCAAAGAGAGAGACCCCTGTCCCTCAGGAAAGGTAAATGGCACCACAGTTTGTGCACTTTCAGCACCATGGACAGGGTAATAATGACTGAGACTGTTATGCTGTGGGTTTCATGAGAACCTGTCACTTAATCTGCCTTTGTGGAAGAATACCCCGTAGGGAATTATGATGTGTAACTTCAATTCATTGTATAGTACCATCAATGGATGAGCTAGATGCACAATTTCAAACCCTATTTAATTTTCTTCACTTTTTTGGCTACTTTCTCATGACAGGCACGCCGCATCCTGGTTTCCATCTTTGGTATGACACGGCAGATGCGGTGTCAGAGGAGTGGCAAGCAGCAATCTGACCTGGAAAGGCCACTAGTGAGCATGGAGCAGCTCATCATTCACAACTGCAGCCCAGATTATCTGGTAAGGAGAGGGACTATACTTTAGAGAGCTATACTTTATATTGACTAAATATATCCATTGATTTTCAATATTCTTACAATAAAAACACAGAAAAGGATTCCACTCCATACCACCTTCTCTTAATTAAAATAAGAAACAATAATAGATGGGCTAGGGAAATAGTTTGCAAATGGTCTGTTCACAACAAGAATAGGCTACATAAACATGAAAAGAACAGTATTAAAGCAGATCATTGAAAAACCAACACTTTGCTGCGTGACAATACTTACCGGTTGTTTGGTTTCAGGGAAAAAAAGCCTCTTGTTCAGCTGTCCGGAAAATAAGAGGAAAGAAGAGAAGGAGGATCCGGTTAATTAAAGTTATCAAGGCACTGATCACTTGTTGGCAGAAACTTCAGAGTGTCTACATGCTCTCAAAGTAGGAACATGTTCTGTCTTCCTGGTTCCTGTAAGCTTGTGCTACTTTCTCATGAAGATGAATTTCCAGGTTCACTGCATCAATCAGAGGATATTACATGACCAATGACCCATTGTATTTAGATGGCTGCTTTTCAGATGCGATCTCATGAATGTTTACTTTTGTCAAGTTCTCAGTGTTTTGTGTATTAAAACTATGCCAGACTTTGCATGTCAGCATTGCTCCTTGTTTTATGGAATAGTTTTTTAGTAACCACAGATAAGCTAAGAAAATATCCACAGTGCATTTAAAAACTTTTAAAATGTGCATTTCCCAAGGTCTCTGTTGTTGTAACAACCATTTTTGTCTTTGTAAGCCATATCTCATCATACGCACGAACTGTTCTTCCGTCTGTTATGTTTGGAATATATGCAATATAATAAAACAAACTTTTTTAAATGTCTGATTTCTACTCATAAGATGTTGTGGTACTGTTGTTATTCATATTCATATTCATATTCATATTATTCATATTATTATTATTATTATTAGTAGTAGTAGTAGTAGTAGTAGTAGTAGTAGTAGTAGTAGTAGTAGTAGTGGTGGGTGCAAGTGTATTAACAACCAAAATAGAACTTTAAAAAAATCTTTATTAACATAATGTACAACAACTTCTTACAAAAGATAATAAAGTAAAAGACAAATAAATCATAAAGAACTGGTTAAAATAAATCCCTGTAATTAGATAATTTTAACAAACCTATATATAATAAAATATTTATCTAATATAATCAAGTTAGTCTTTTGGAGTGAGATGACAGCCGCACTCCACACAGCACGTGTTCAGCGGAACACTTGAAATGCAGCACTGTTTCCGTCCGGAGCAGAAGACATGTTGCACAGCCTCGACCATACGATTTCCTAACGATACATAATATCAACAACCAACTACACAAGGGATCGTTGTGGTAAATACGCACCACTACTAACGTTTAAAACCGACAAAAGTTTTATTTCCGTAAACGTAACGTTTATTTTGTCGCTTAAGTTACGTTGTTCAGAGACAGCAGCATCACTGTTAACTGTCGGTCGTAACTTAACGTTAACAGTTTAGACGAAAGCTTACTGAATGTTTTGAACATGGAAAAACTCTTACGTAACAGATAAAAGCTGGGTTTAGTTCTCGTGTTGCCTGGTTTGTTAGAGTCAGTAAGTTTGAATCAAATAGCCCTTGACAGAGCAGACATGGCCGACAGCAGCAGTGTAGACATGGATCCAGATGTTGCTCGGAGGTTGTTTGAGGAGGGAGCTACCCTGGTGCTCCTGGGTGTTCCTCAGGGCACGGAGCTGGGGATTGACTGCAAGAGCTGGCAGGTTGGTCCCCGCTTCAAGGGTGTGAAGATGATCCCCCCAGGACTGCACTTCCTCTCTTACTGCTCTGTTAACCCGCCAAGCTGTGGAGGAGAAACTGGCCCAAAGATGGGCCTCTTCCTCACTCTCAAACCCAGAGAGATCCTGTTGGCCAACTGGGACCCAAAAATAGAAGATCTGGACTTCTCAGCCTCCCGGAATGAAGAGGAGGTGAGCCGGATCAGGGCGACCTTGCGAGACCTGGATCCTTACCTGGGGCCCTATCCGTATGAGGTCATGAGGAAATGGGTTTCCCTCACTGACCGCCTGAGCGAGGAGGTGGTCAGTAACTTGCAGCCTCTCTCAGGTCGAATATGTGCCTTCAGTGACGTCATCCCCGAGGTTCAGTTCAGACACACAAAAGACAGGGCAGAGCAGCCGAGGAACGACACCGCCTGCCAGACCATGAAAGAGGGACTCGACAGGCTCCCCAGGATGAAGCAGAGGGAGGGGACGGAGTTGCGCTTCTCGATTATCCCTGAGAAGACCTACCCTCCTGGGGCTACACCGGCCGAGATCACACAGTGTAGCCTGGACCTGAGCTACGCACTGGAGACTGTGCTGGAGAAGAACTATGAGCTGCAGCCTCTCAACCTGCTAGGTATGTGTTAGATATACTTACATTAGATCATGGAAATGCCACACAATTACATTTTCTATATAAATAAAACAACCTACATTTTGTCACTTCCCCTCTCAGGTGAGCTGCAGTTTGCCTTTGTGTGTTTCCTGATTGGAAATGTATATGAGGGCTTTGAGCACTGGAAGTGTCTCCTCGCTTTGCTGTGTCGATCAGAGGAGGCCATGCGGAAACGTAAGGAGCTCTACCAGGGGCTCATCGCTGTGCTCTACCACCAGCTCGGAGAAATCCCACCTGACTTCTTTGTCGACATCGTGTCTCAGAACAACTTCCTTACCTCCACACTGCAGGTAAGACACACTAGACAAGTCTGAAGTCCTAGTATTTCAAACCTCTTACTTATCAAGTGTCTCAAGAGTAGCAAGGTGGTCCTACGTGTCCTGAATTTCTCACATTGACGCATATGTGGTCTTACTTTTTTGGCAGTGACTTTCTTTACCCAGTAAAGTAATCTTATCTCCGCTAGAGCTGTCTGAGACTGGTAGAGCTGTCTTAACCTGTTAGGAGTTCCCAGGAGGTAGCAAATGATGTGGAAAATTCAAAAGACATTCCAGTTAGTGTGTAAATGTAGAATGTTGATATTTTTTCAAAAGACGTTTATTTATCTAAAGCATTTCCCATGTGATGTCAATGTCATGAAAAGCTTGGACAGCATCATTATTATAGGACAAGTAGATGAGGACGGTCTACTTTAGGTTCTTGGAATAAAGCTGAAATCAATGTAGCTGTGAATACAAGTTTTTATTCTTGTACAAGGACAGACTCCAACTTGAAAATCTTGCAGTAAAATGTGCAGTCTTTGAGTAGTCTCTCAGGAATTTCTCTCTTTTACTGACTAACAAACATTGATTCTCCTCATAACAAAGCTCTGTAGCCTGGTTTTGAACGATTGCTGCATATACTAGTTGAAGATGGTTATGATAGTAGTGTCTTTATTATTGTTGTCAAGGATGTTCACATTAACAATTGCAAATCATTTTCTCACAGGACTTTTTCCAGTTTGCCAGCGGACCCGGTGTGGACGGCACACTGCGCAAGAGAGCGGAGAAGTTCAAAGCTCACCTGACGAAGAAGTTTCGCTGGGACTTCGATGCAGACCTGGACGACTGTGCCCCTGTGGTGGTGGAGCTGCCAGAAGGGGTCATAGTGGACTGAGACTCTAAAATGGACGTGCTGGAACCACAGGCAAGGAACAGGACTGAAATAATCTGACACTGAGGGAAAGCAGTGTAGCCTGGAATTTTATACTAGATCCAAAGGTTCTCAGAAGCCTTGAGGAAATTCGCTGCAATGCCACAGTCCTCCAGATGACCACACACTCTTACTTTCAGTAACACAGGTAGTTCTCTAACAGTGTTGATGGTTGTTACATGTCCGCTGTATATCATCTTGTATACATGCACCATTTATACCCTGTTTTGAAGAAATCACACTTTATTAAGTCATCCTAAGTGTTAAGTAATGGCAAAGCCGCATTATTCTAAATGTCAGTGGTGCCCTCTGGTGGTGGTTTTCTCTAAGCTCCGCAAACAAGTTTTCTTCTATTGCCTGACAGTTTTTAGAACCCCAACTTGCAATACATTTATTGCCAAAATTAACCGCCTACTATTTCTAACCTCACTACTGTAGTTGGTATAAACAAAGTCATATGCAGAACAGAGTTAACTTCATCAATGATGCAGCGCTTAAATGTTCAGTTCACCACATAACTGCATGGATGAAGACGTTCTAAGTGTTAACCTAAATGTCTTAACTGTATAAGAATTCTCGATATACAGGATATTGCTGGAAGAAGAAAAGTATAGTATATATATGTGTGACTGTTGTGATTCTATACCTCATTTATTAAAAATAAATAATTTGTTAAATATAAATGCTTTTTGTTGCCACACTGTTTAGAAAGTGTTGTGCTTTGTAATGGTAAATTGGTCCAATATAAAGAGCTATTTTCTTCAAAACTTCTTGACTAATTCTTACTTTTCTGTGATTTTCCTTTGGGATCCAAATTGCCTTGAATAAAAACAAACACTTCTGATCCCAAAAAAAGCCCTATGGGGCTTCCTGTCTGCTATCTAATGACTAGATCTCATCTCTTTCTCCTCCACTAGATGGCGGTTGTGTGCTTTTTGTAACGATTTGCAACTTAAAAGTTTCTTTCTAAGGACCAGTGTAAATGTACAAACGTGCATTCACACAGAATCAAGCATTGAATGTGCTGGGGAAACTGGGTTCTGGTTCTGGTTGGAATTGGCAGTGGGCACTGTGTACAGCATGACTGTCAGGGTGAATCATCTCATAAGCTTTCTCTTGATGTCAACAAAGATGATTTGTGAGGAGTAACAGGTGGACGACTAAGAGTGGGGTGTACATAGAACAACTGGATCAACTGGATAACATAATTACATGCTGTTTATTAGCTCTGTGTGTGTGTCCCTTCTTTGACAGTGATGGATGGGACAAGACTTGTGTAAGCCTGTTGGTCCACCAATCCATTCACTCATTATCTCCTCTGCCCCATCCTGAACTTTTTTCACTCTCCAGTTGGTCGTCAATGCTTTGACGTTTCCCGGCTCCATGAACCGTCTATAAACTTAAAGCTGCTGTGAAAAGGAATAAAGCCATCTAATGTCATTACGTGAATCAATAGAGTCAGGGCCAGTTGATGGAGATCCAAATGCCAATAGAAGAAATCCATTCTCTTCCCAGAAGACAGTTGGTATTGTGCAACGCTCCGCTTTATGATGAAAATTCCCCCTTTGAAAAGTTACGCACATCTTAAAAGAAGATCATCTCTGTATTTGTGGTCCACTCGGAGACCACTGGGGCTCCAGCACTGGTTGGTATTTTCCTTTTCAATGCAATTAGATGGAGAAAATGGCTTGGAACACGTGGTGGAAACATATCGGCACAACATGGAAGGAAACGTACGCCAATTATTTGTCAATTCATTTTCCTCTCTGGGGGTGAAATACTGTACATTGTCAGTGAAGACAGTCTCAGAAATTACACTGTTGGGACGTCCTTGGCATTCCAGCCCCTCCATTAGTGCTGGAATTACAGAGTACGGCAAGTCAGCGGACGACCCATTAAGTGTCCGGCTTTCCTGTGCCGTATGTACCCCTTCACCCTCAGTTTACGCTCCCCTGCCATGTTCCTGGTATGGCAGCCTTTTTTTCTTTAATATCCCTTATTTGTTTTGTTTGGTGTGGCCGCCCAGGGGACTGAAGCACGCTGGGAAACGGACTGCGATGATTGTGAAGGTCCTCAAATACAACCAGGCTCTGTCAGTCATGGTGGAGTTTTCTCTCCATTGGATGTGAGCTGGCCCTTTCCATGGTGGTTCCCCCTGCTAGCATAAAAACACAGGCCCCTCTGTTTCTTTCTCACTCCCCCCCCCATCATGATAACAAGGAGGATAGATGTTGGTGTGTGTGTGTATGTCTGTGCGTGTGCGACATCTTGACCGAGCATTGACTCTGGTTTTAATATTAACTATTGTTGACTGAACAGATCATGTGTGTATGGAATGACTCAATTATTAATTGACCCAGTGGCTTCTGATCAGCCAAGCACCTGCGATAAATGGGTAAATTAGATGAATTTTATTGTCCACTATAGTGGAAATTTAGAAATATAGTGAGAGATGTGCAGAACGATCAGTATCCAGAGATTCTGTGATATTTGACTGCTGTTTTTGAGCTGTCCTGCGTGATTGCACTTTTCCAAAAACTATATATTTTTTAGAAGCTTTAATTTCAGGTTTTCCATACAGATTCCTTGTTCCCATTTCTCTGCCTGCCGTCTGTCTTTCACCCATGGACGCCAAGTCTGTTTATCTCCATCACCACTTTGATGTATGTCAAGATGCATAATTGTAATGAATAGCTTGTCAAAAAGTGGGCTTTTTGGGTAATTACCCATATCCTTAGCTTGCATGCAGGGAAAGATGTTGGTACAGAAGTGGAAAGAAGAAGTGTTTACTCTATGACCTCTTGTTACTGTTTTGTAGAGATTGCCAAGGCAAAAGTATAATTCCAAACATTTGGCGGTGTGGTGCAGTTAAAAATTCAAACCCTCACTTTTCAGGTGCAATAATGAAAACAAGCATTTCCAGATAACAAATAAATGACCTACTCTCCTGAACTAAATACGAAAGAAAAGTTGGTATTTGTGCATCTGTGGTGTGGATTCTGTTCCCTGTCCATACACACATCTGTTATCTTTTCTGGGATTTTTTGACTATTCCTTTGGTGTCTGCCTCATAAGTGTGTGTGTTGATGACCAGGCTGCGATTCGTCTGTATTCCCTCTCTGCTGCAGTACCGGTGGGGCTTCACATGTCTGACTCACATGACCAAAATGTGAGGCAGGCACGTGTACATTTTCCCAGGACGTGCATATGAGTGTGGGGTGCGTGCACATTTTGAGCTCTGGTGCTGAGACATATGGACATGGGGCAGGTGGGGGTGAGAGAGTACTAATAGCAGGGATGGACAAAGTTAAAAATCCCTTCTGGAAATGTCATACACACCCGGGGAGAGAAAAAGTGTGCGCGCAAGTGTGTGAACAATGTGTTCTGTTATAGTGATCTGCTGAAGTGATTAAAGGCAGGAGCTAAAAACAAGGCGGTTGACCTTTTGAGGTCTGGTCAGCAGGCATGTGTGTCTGTGTGTCTGCCTTTCTGATCGTGTACAGCATAAGGCCACAACAGCTGGCCTATAATTTCCCAGGCTAACTAACAAAAGTTGTAGAGCTGAAACAAGTACATGCTGTGATTTGCACAGATGCGGCAGCACAACAGATAGAGAGATGTCGCGTCTCACTGATGTCACAGAACTCATAAAAATGTCTGCGCCTTGTGCTGTTTATCGTCCTTGAGAGCTTAGCTAAACACTGGACGAGTCATTTTGAGTCAAGCACGATTCAGACAAACCACAGTAAAGCTCCTTTCCTGGTTTGTATTCCCAGTCCACAGTCCATCAGATATGTTTCACTGTCCCACACTTGCCCATCAGATGACTGATCTCTGACTTCCATTTTTAGTATGTGTGTGTGTGTGTGTGTGTGTGTGTGTGTTGTTTTTGGCTGTGGCACTCAGAGCCTCAAAGGATTTGAATACCGCTTCACACAAACTCTTGTCATTGCTCACTTTCTGTTTCTGCCCCTATTTTTCTTGAACAGTTGTGTGTCTGTGTGTGGGTGTTTTGAGGTGAAAGCAGACCCCTCCTGGTAGCCCCACACCCAGGGGACAGCCCGCTGAATGGTTACAGGGTGGAGAGGAAGGGCAAGAAGGAACCCTTGAGCGGACCAGGCCATTCAGATGGCGCCCTGAGGAGGATGAAAACATTCATCAGTCGCTGTTTTCTACTAAAAAGTTCTCTTCCGTCCTTTTTCTGCTTTCTATCAATTTCCCATTCTTCCTCTTTGCCCCGTCTCCATTAACCCTCCACCGCCTGCACTAACTTGTGAATAATTCAGAGATTTTGCATGTATTATTCAGACTTTCCTCACACACATACACACACTGCTTTTGTCTGCTTTGATTTCTGTCCCTTAATTTCAAAATATAGAAGCCTCTTCTTTGTCTATGCCCTTTTCCCTCTACCTTCCTCATCTCCCTCCCCCAGCCAATCAGGTATGATATATGATGTGAGCAGATATTTCCATTGTGAAATGAAAGATTCAAGGATTTTCAAATAAGTGAAATACATTTTTTATAGCTTTCCCCCGAAGGGAATTCAAGTAATGTGTGCATGAGATTGTAGCCTAGGTGGTAGAACAAGTCAGTCTTAAATGGTTAGGTCCAGGCCACATGTGAAAGTGTCTTTAAGCACAAAAATTGCCCCTGATGTGTATGTAACATCTGCAAAATGAAACTTGCTTTATTAGAATAACCTAATTTCCAGGGAAAAAAGGAAAAAGCAAAGAGCCTTTGTCTTGCATAAATATGCCTTTTCTGTTTTCCCCAAATTTATCTTGGTTAGGAACTGCTGCTGTCAAGTTTATTAGATGGCTGCTTTGCATTGGCTTGTGCTGGCTATTTTATGTTTTCTTGTGAAAAGAAGAAAAATGACATTTGGGCTGGCAATGCTGCCCACTTATCTCAGAAACAGAAAATAAAAAGTGGTCAAGAAAATTATTCTTTTCATTTATTGAGAGAAAGACATTGTCACAGTTCATCATGATGAAATCAGTTATTCTGTTAAAACAGTGTTGAACTGAACAATCTTCAGTCTTGACCTTGGGAAGTAAGTTTGACTTAATATTAAGTGGGCTTTCACCCACATCTCTCACAATCTTGGAGTTGGGGTTTAAGACATACAGATTGTTGGCATTGTGGGTTAGGGTTATTAGATCCAAACTTACTGAGTATTAGAGCACACTTGTTTTTTAAACTCCACCTGCCAGCAAAGACTGAGATTTGGTTGAAAGCTCTGGAAAAGCTAGTAAGTGGATCTTGAGTATGACAAATTGCCACTGTAATGCAATTTATTGAATATGTGAAAAACTCAAACACCCAAAATCCCTCTGTTTTATGAAATACCAGTTTTGATTCAGGCATTCACTGTCAATTGTCCTGCACTTCTTGTCACTTCTTCACAACTTCCCATCTCTCTCAGAGGGCAATGCAGGTGTGTTTAGCTCCCCCTCATGGATCAAGCTGTAGCTCAATCTGAAAGGCGTGGGATTTGTTTTGTGACACAGAACTTCTAAAAAGCTGCAGAAAAATCTCCACCTCCCCTGCTTCCCACATCTCTTTAAAACAACAGTAAATCTTCCTCTTCCCCATCTCCTCTGTGTCTTTTCCCATCCCACGCTTTCCTACTGTATTCCACTTCCTCCATCCCTCTGCTTTTCCCTATCCAGGCTCAAGTTGAGTTATGGGACAATCATCCAGAGTAGCAGAGCAGGGAGAGTCGGATCTGATGTGTTATCAGTATTTTCTAGTTTGCTGTCCT